TATAATATCTTTATTATATTGTTGTACACCAGCTTTAAAACTCTTGGCTAACAGATTTCTATTATTCAATATATCAAAAGCATCGTTCATGAAACTAACAAATTGTTCCGTTGCTTCACAATTTTCAAAATTTGGAGAATAGTTTGTTTCTCTTAAATATTGCAAGGCTTTTGCTACACTGAAACTAAACGTTTGGGCAACGAGCTTCACTTTCATTTTTTCTTTAAACCAGTTAATATGCCGCTTTGTTATTTTAGTTCCTAGATGTAATCCTTCTTTTTCTTGTATATCTACCAAATACCGAATGTAAATCTTTAATTTTTTTTATAAGCCTTCTGTTTTTCTGTTGCAATATTTTAATTTGTTTGTTTTTCTTTGCTATTGTTGTGTTAATGATCTCTACATAGTTTTTTTTCTCAGTTATTACATCACATTCCTCAAAATCACCAACATAAACTTTTCGCTTCTTTCTTAAAGGTTTCTCCAGTGATACATTTTCTTCGTTAGCACTAACAGTATGTATTAAGCTTTCATCTTCACATTTATTTTTTAAGCTAAAGAAAAGTTATAGTAAAATTATATAATTATAGATTAGTTCAAGTATTGATCAAATATTGAAGGGAGTTATACTTTGCAGTTTTGTTTTTTGTTTCAATGCATGGAACATTGAGTATATCCTTTTCTTGCATATGTCGCGTTTCAAGTATATGTGGTACATTTGGGATAGCATTAGATTTTAATATCCTCTTCGAACTCCAAGGACTTTCAACAAAGCAATCACTTGAAAAATGTTTTGAACATACTCTTGCATGAGATGAAGGATTAAAATTACCACATTTTATTGCTTTTCTCCACTGCTGTTGTAATTCTGGATTTTTTGGAAATCTGTAAGTAAGTAAATTCTTTTAGAATTGCTACAAAACAATCTCAAATATACATTAAATTGTATTGATTATAGGTTATGCGATATTATATTCAGCTAATAAACATTGAAAATGATGAAACACTTACTGATGAAAAGATATAGTCCTATCACGCTTTTGCCGTTCTTTGCAATTTGTGACACAACACGTTTGCACCATTATTACTAAGTATCCACAATTACTTAGTAAGATGTAAACTGTTGTAAGCTATTTGTAGCACTTTTCTAGCATGTCTCATGCAGTATCCACCATTTTGAATTATCTTTTGCCCACATGTGACGTCACGTAGATGATATTATCTTTGCTTCACNTCGACTCGTGGATTCATATCTACAGGCCGTGTCTATAAGTATATATAGTCTAAGGGTCGCAGGGCCTCTCCATGAGTATAAGCTCTATGGTTGGCAATGAATATCGGAACACAGCTATAGCTATATTTTATTACGGTTAACACGCATGCGCGGAGTTTGTTACTTAAGATGGCAACATTCAATTCGGAAGAAGAATATTACGGTAGGGGATAGGACATCAGCTATCTATATATCTATGGTCCCCGCCAGCGGCCAGAGATTGAAGGAAAATGGCGCGCTGGTAGTAAGGACAGCCGGAGAAGAAATTTCCGAGAAATACTTCCCCTGAAGCGGAACGATATGGTGCACTCCTCTGTACCAAACGATCGCCAAGAATCGCCTAAAGTGAACATCGTTTCATTCTTGATTCTTGATTAAAAAGAAATCGAGGTATCGAGAATCGACTCATAAAATAATCGACAAAATAATCGATTTGTTAAAAAAAGATTCGGTAAATTCTGAAAGAATCGAATAGTATCGCCCATCCCTAGTGCAGTTCCAGCTCAGTTCTCGTTCGGATTTTCAACTATTAAGTCAACTTCTCCAAGTTCTCTCTCATCTCAACCAAAGCCGTCGAGTCCATCCCGCATTCACGGGTCTTTCTACACTCCGATTTCACGAGTCCAGTATTAGCCAACATCCAGAAGTAAACAACGAGTATAATTGTAAGTTCTTATTATTATTTTTATCTCTAAATTTATGTTTATTTTAGATTAAACAATTTAGAAATAAATTAGAGATCACAAGTTACACAGACATTAACACTCAAGTATAATTATATTTCGCACTTGAGCATAACTAAAGAATCGTATTGTAAGCTCGGTTCATTCAGAATATACATTTACTAACTCAAAACTGAGATTCCGATTGTTATTTCATTAATATAACATAAGAATAACTATAATTCCTCGAATCCCTTTGTAGACGCGCTCGTTGAACAGCGCATCTCGTACCCTCGTGCTGAAGGAAGCGCCCGAACGGCGAATCTTGAGGCTCCTTCCTTCTTGAAAACACTCACGGCGTCACCACGCGGTCGTAGCGTGGGTTCCGCCATCTTGGAAGACGCCGCGTCTCTCTCCATCTCTGTCTAAAGAGCCGTCTACAATGGAGAATTGTAGGCCGTAATAGTAAGAAATTGACCAATCACAGGCAAAGTACAGAAGAATAATCGATTGTGATTTGTCAGTTTCACAATCGATTATTCTTCTGTACTTTGCCTGTGATTGGTCAATTTCTTACTATTACGGCCTATAACTCTCCATTGTAGACGGCTCTTTAAGGCCATCGCACATGAATCTCTGTAACAGTAAGCATACGACGTAACGTAAGAATTAGCCAATGAATGAGCGTATAGAATAATTCAACCAATCATTGAATAGTCATAAGCCTCCGTACTTAACAATAAACATAAGATATAATTTGACCAATCAAAAATGATTTTTAGAAGAAAATAGAAAGAGAAATTTCAGATTAGCCAAGATAATTTTATTTCATTTTTAAAAGATAAAACTTAAAATGCTTGTATAGTAAAAACAAATCAAGTGTATCGTCGAAAAAGGTCAATATCGAGCATAAACGTGATGACAACAAAAAGATATTTTTTAGAAAAATTATATATAATGTGCAACAATAATGTTATACATAGTATGCAATTGCGAAACGTTTCGACATTCACTGATATCCTCTTCAGTCGCCGTGTGTAAAAAGTTAAATATAAGATCTACTAGTGTGTTAATAATATGGCAGATGGTTATGTACCTTATGTGTAATTCCTGTCGTCACAATGCATTGCATACTATGCATACCATTATTGTTGCACATTATATATAATTTTTCTAAAAAATATCTTTTTGTTGTCATCACGTTTATGCTCGATATTGACCTTCTTCGACGATATACTTGATTTCATTTTTACTTTAAATATAAGAAATCACCATAGAACCATTTTATAATATATAAAACTTATGTAAGAAATGTTATATAGAAATAACAATATAATAAAGGTACCTTTTCATACAGCAGCACGCAGCGGCAGCAAAACGTCACGTGACTTAAATTTTCTAGGACTGCTTCCGCTAAGTATATTTGCTACCCTTACCTAACTCTCATTTGATGCCATTCTTTGTTGTTAATGGAATTATATAATTATTGCATAAGTATCAACAATAAAATTTTCCCGGTTTTGCTGCTTTTTGTTCATTTGAACTTCGCAGACAATGGCATCGAGTGAGGGTTAGGTAAGAGCAGCAATTATACCTAGCGGAAGCAGTTCTAGAAAATTTGAGTAACGTGACGTTTTGCTGCCGCAGCGTGCTGCTGTATGAAAAGATATCTTAATATGAACCTTTGACTATATAAACATGGACTGCCAGTTGCTTCCACTTTTCTTATTTAAGCAATGCATAAGCAGCGTAGGTAACATAGATAAGAAATAGGCACCGCCTTTGGGCCAAAAAGCGGGAAATTCAAATATAGTTCGAGGAAGTAAGTAGGGTCAAAGATGTAAATTGGAAACAATTACTTATAAAAATGAATTTAATGTAATGTAAATAGAAATTTACATAAATTAACATATATTAACATTGAACATATATTTAACATATATTAACATTTGTAATATACTTACTGATAACATTGTTTTAAAAAAAGTTTTTTACAAATTACTGACCTTATAATATTGTTAATTTTTTATTTGTGTGTCTGTCAAAAGTATCGTGAGCCTTAAGTGTAAGTGTTTTTGCTAAATGTGACATTTTTGTTTAAATATAACGATATAAATAACTTAATTAATTCATATTTGTGATTTTCTAACATATCTAATTCTTTAACATAATCTTCAAAATTTAAAAACAAAGTATGCACATATTTAAATTTCTAAACGTATCATTCATTATTTTTTGGTAACAAGTTTTTGGATTCAAATTGTTATTGATTTTTGTAAAAATTAAAAAGTTTTTTAACGCAAATACTAACTTTATATGAATCTTTTCTGAGATATCGTAGAAATCCTCGACTTTTGCGGCAAAGAAAGCTTGAATTTATTTTTTTGGTGAATTAATTTCTTGCAAAGCAGTTTCTTTTTCCATAACACTGTAAACTCATATAATTAAATATAATTAAATCTGTATATAAAGATTAATTGTTAGGTTTTAATTACGTTCTTATAACATTAATTACCTTTCTCTTCTATTTCGAGGAAATATGCTAGGTACAACATTTCGCTTTAGTCGGAGTTTAGTACATTCAAATTGTTTCAACAACTTTTGTGAAAATGTAATTCACAGATACGGCTATTTTTAGGAACATTTCTTACACTTTCTTGCAGGTTTAAAGTGGCAATTGCTTTAATCCACTGCTCTTTGAGTACAGGATTGCTTGGGAATCTGACAATTTATAATACACACAATTTATAATACACAAATACGTATGAGATTAATATAAATGATAAAATCAGTTTAAAATAGTAAAGAATTGAGCTACAAAAATCAGTACATACGCAAAAAAATTCAAGTTGATATTATTTTCCTCGTGTTGTCGTTTATATTTTGTGCTTCTGCAGCCTTCTATAAAACAATAACGTCCCATGTTGTATTTTTTGAGATCACTGGTTTTTTTAATTGCATTTTGCAAAGTGCGTACTTTAGTGCGTATTATCTTCATAAACACGTAAAAACTGGAAGACCACGTAACGCGCGACGTGACGTCACGAGCTGTTAGTTATTGGCCCAAACTCAGAGTGCGCTGTTCAATGTTGTCTACGGCCAGATCTCCCGACTAGCAGTCCATGTTTATATAGTCAAAGATATGAACAATGAAGAAAAAATCATCTAACCTATACTTAGAATAAAATCATTAAACAAATAAATATTATTTATAAGAATAAGCAGTATTTGGAAAAACAATACTTTTCTATGTTTAATCATGCAATGGTGTGGACTAGTTATTGTATGGAGATTGTAATGAGATATACAAATATCATATATATAATACTCCTATATTGCTAGTACGGTGCCGACCTGAAGTCAACATGTTACGGTGCAGACAATATAGTAGCCTCTCTCTCCAGCTGCTTTGTGCGCATGCGGTGAACATTCAAGCACGTTTGGGCATTTCTCTTTCTCGCGTTCTTTCCAATGCTTTGTCTCGCTCGCACTCGCTTAGTAGACGCGCCTGCGCATAATGACGCTCGATTATCTATGCCCATATTTGGACTTTGTGCGTCTCTCTTTCTCGGGCCTCGTGCCTCTCATTGCGAAGATACGCGACTAGCAATATAGGAGTATTATATATATGGCAAATATATATTAATTTTGCACAGACCATAGATCAAGTAGAATTGAGATGACACAACTTTTCGTAGCAACTACTCATATATGCACAGATTTTTTCGTACGACAAAATTTTACCTGGCAGAAATTTATCTTATGTTTAAGTCATAAATATATAAATAGCTGATGTCCTATCCCCTACCGTAATATTCTTATTCCTAATTGAATGTTGCCATTTTAAGTAACAGACTCCGCGCATGCGTGTTAACCGTAATAAAGTATAGCTATAGCTGTGTTCCGATATTCATTGCCAACATTGGAAATCTATAGTACATGTGACATGAAGTATAGATTTTTATTACTAACAGTGAATATTGAAATGCAACTGTTATATACATATATATATATATAATAATAGGATTGCTGATGTTCTAATCTTTATCATAATATTTTTATCAATTAAACTCAAAAATGTTTTAATAATGAAAAATTATAGTTTATTAAAGGATTGTACTTCATTTTATGTTACATGGAGATTAAAATGGTTTTACTAAAATTTTATAAATAAAAAAATGTACATATACATATATTTTTATTTTACTTAAAAAATAATTATAATAAGAAATTAATAAAATTTGTTATATTTATTTGTAAGAAAAGTAAATTCATGTTATATATCTACAGTTTAAAAATTTCACAATTGTTCTGGCTCAGTTACCTGTAAATATGAGTTAATTGAATAAATCCCAAGCAACCAGCTGAC